GGAGAAGAGAGAGCGTGCGGCGAAGTGGAAGAAGAGAAGGTCATGCATGAAGCAAGCCGGCCACCTGTTGGCTGCTACCTTATGCGCCAAATGTCAACCTTCCTTCCATGCAAAGGCCACTTGGTGAGCATAGAAAGCCACATCCCACCTTTGGAGTACAGAACCACTCTTTCTCTCTCTCTGAACCTCACGTTTTGAAGCTCAAGCTTAGCCCTCGGCGTTTCCGATGCGCCCAACGGCGCTGATATAAAGGTGCAAAATCGACGCCCACGATTGGATCCCGTGGCGATTGCCAAAAATATGGTTTAAAATTGGGTACGGACATCGGGCAGGGTACTGACATCTCTCTCATCGAGCACGATTGGCAGAGCTTTCTCCCTCTTCACGGAAAAAAGGGTTGAAGCTCTTCTCTGTGTTCTCTCTCTCTTTGCTGAAAAAGGGTTTCTCTCTCATCGGGCACGATTGGAAGAGTTTTCTCTCTCTTCGCTGAAAAAAGGGTTGAAGCTCTTCTCTGTGGTCTCTCTCTCCGTTGAAAAAATGGTTTCTCAACTAAAACGGTTCCCCCCTCTTCCCTCTGCTTCAATTCAACAAGATATGCCTACGCTCTCTCTCTCTCTCTCTCTCTCTCTCTCGGGTTTTTCTTTTTACTTCTCCATCCCTCCCTCTGGTTTTCAAAATTCCCAAAGCCCAGCAAAACCCCCAATCCCGACATCGTGTAGTTTTTTTCCCAAATTCCTGGCCAAATATAGGTTTAAACCCAAATTTCATCTTCGTTTTTTGTCCAAATTTCTGATTTTTAATAGCATTTTCCCCAAATTTCGCTTTTGTTTTTTTGCCCAGATTTTCTGCAATACTGAGCAAAACCCCAAACCCCAAGGAAGCTCAGATTTTTGTGCACGTTTATACAGATTTTTTGCCCATATTTAGTTTTCATTTCTTGCCCAGATTTTCTGTAGTACTGAGAAAACTTCTGCCCAAATGTTGTTTTCATCTTCGTTTTTTGCCCAAATTTCTGTCCAGATTTTTTGTAGCATTTTGCCCAAATTTTTATTACGTTTTTTTTCCAGATTTTCTGTGATACTGAGCAAAACACCCCTGTGTATATATGGAAGCATTTTTTATACTCATAATTAAGGGCCTACATGGTTCTTGAGTATTTGGCCTGGTAAAATTCCTGATTAAAACCCACAATTGTTTTCGGACATTTTATGTGCCGAACAAACCCTAGATTTCAGCTAAAGCCAACAATTTTTTGGCAAATGATTAATTTTTTCTGAAATATATTTTGTATTTCCCTATCATAGACAGAGGATTAATGTTTTCTTTTTGAGGAATTATCATAGACACAGGATTAATTGTTTATTGTTTGCAGATATTTGGTCGAATATAGCACCATATGATTTGGAATTTTGATTTGATTATGTGATATATTGAAGATATCCATAGTGATGCATTTACACTCCTAGTATTATGTTTGGAGCTTGAAATGAGTGGAGTGAATGTTTCTTGCCTAGATTTTTTATAGCCATTTCATTTCCTTTTTTCCTTTTTTTGGCAAACATATGATTTTTGACCCTGTGTATATATGACAGCATGACTTACGCTCATATTTAAGGGCCTACATGGTTCTTGATTATTTGACCTGCTGAAATTCCAAGGGTAACTGATGCCTATATATTATGTTTGGAGCTTGAAATGAGTGGAGTCAATGTTTCTTGCCCTGATTTTTTTATAGCAATTTCATTTCGTTTTTTTGGCAAACATATGGTTTTAACCCTGTGTATATATGGTAGCATGACTTACACTTATATTTAAGGGCCTACATGGTTCTTGATTATTTGACCTGCTGAAATTCCAAGGGTAACTGATGCCTATGTATTATGTTTGGAGCTTGAAATGAGTGGAATCAATGTTTCTTGCCCAGATTTTTTTATAGCAATTTCATTTCGTTTTTTTTGGCAAACATATGGTTTTTGACCCTGTGTATATTTGGTAGCATGACTTACACTCATATTTAAGGGCGTACATGGTTCTTGATTATTTGACCTATTAAAATTCCAAGCGTAATTGATGTTTATAGATTATGTTTGGAGCTTGAAATGAGTGGAGTCAATGTTTCTTGCCCTGATTTTTTTATAGCAATTTCATTTTGTTTTTTGGAAACATATGGTTTTTAACCCTGTGTATATATGGTAGAATGACTTACACTCATATTTACATGGTTCTTGATTATTTGGCTTGCTGAAATTCCAAGGGTAATTGATGCCTATGTATTATGTTTGGAGCTTGAAATGAGTAGAGTTAATGTTTCTTGCCCAGATTTTTTTATAGCAATTTCATTTCGTTTTTTTGGCAAACATATGGTTTTTGACCCTGTGTATATATGGTAGAATGACATACACTCATATTTAAGGGCCTACATGGTTCTTGATTATTTGACCTGCTGAAATTCTAAGGATAATTGATGCCTATATGTTATGTTTGGAGCTTGTAATGCCCATTTAAGTGGTAGGCTTTGGAGTACTGTTGAATTTTCATCACTATCCTTCTGTGTTCTTTTTATTTTTTATTGTTGCAGTTGGTTTTATGTGAAGAATGTTATTTGCATGTTTGGTTTATGTAGATGATAGGCAGAGTTTCATGAAACTTAGTATTTTTGGTGTTTGTTGTCACATGAACCAGCACAAGCACCATTCAATAGCTTCCAATTCAGACTTCCATATGAAATTTTTTCATGTTGAAATTTTTTTCCACTTTGTTCCAAAAAGTTTTCTTAGGAACTGATGAAGCATGTTGAAATTTTTTTGACACTTTGTTTCAAAAAGTTTTTTTGGGAAGTAGTTTTGAATAATTGAGGTAGGTATTGCCTGAGGTAGGTGTCGTTCCTCTATTGTACACCTTTTTTTATCTGAAAATTGTGACATTTTTGTAGATGGACTATGATTAAATTGTGATATACACTCATTTTATCTAGTCTTGGTATCCTTATTAACCGTAGGCTTTATGGAGATATATAAAGCCCTATGTCAATCTTTACTATTAGAATGCATGCAGAAATATTTTTTCTTTTAAATTTTTGTTTTTGCTGGTTTTGTATACTATCTTTTATTATCTCTCAGATTTCGTTATATTGATTTCGAGATTGAGTTTCCTTTTTAAGATAAGTGTATGAATCCCTGTCATGCTTTGCTTTTTGTTATTTGGTGTTTCCTTTGCTCTCTGATAAGGTATAGTTTGCATATGTTTACTTCAATGGCTGATGCAATTCATGGATGTGATATAGTGATAATAGGGCATTTGAGTGCATCTAATCATTTTAATTGAATGGATCTCGACAACCAATTCCCTCCATGGTTTTGTAAACGCAAACCAGGATGTGGTCGAATGCGCGTGTTTCTTTCAAAGACGTACGATAACTACAATAGGCATTTCTATAAATACTCTAACTGGAAGGTATGTAATATTCTTTCATTAAGATTATGTAAAGACTGTTCCATTGTAAGCATATATTTAACATACATTTATCCTATTATGTTAACCATTAGAAAGAGACTAGATGTGGCTATCTAGAGTGGTGTAATGAAATTTTAGGTGAAGAAAAAAAACATGTGGTTAAAAGGGTCGTGTCTCAGAGGCTAGATGATTGTGCTGTCGATAGAGTAGATGCTTCTCTAACTGAAAAAGAGATGCGCAAATCTGTTGTTATGGTCCCTGAGAAAGATAACGTTAAAATTTTTTTTCTCATGTGTAATTTTATTAATGACATTGATGTTTTCCTTCATTTTCTTTGTAAAAGGAATAAAGAAATGGGTATATGTTTTATAGTATCTATATATTTATAATTGCATACACTTATTATTCTCTATCTTTTATGGATCAACAATTTTCATTTTAATATATTTGTATATTAATATAATTCAATAATCTCTCTCTCTCTCTTTCTCTCACTCAAACATCAAATTTTATTTAGTGTTTTGAATGGTGAAAGCTGAATTAGTAGGTGTTAATTGTTTGTGGTTTTGGTGTTTGAATGGTAAAAGCTGAATGATTAGGTGTTAATTTTTTGAGTGTTAATTTGCAACCCCATTCTTTTCAAATCAAATATTTTCTTTATTCTTTCATTTTCAAATTCTATTTTCTTTGGCTTGAACTACATATGAATCGTGGCTGCTCTTTTGCCTAGGTTTTCACTGACGAATTGTGCTTTTATAAGGGAGTAACTGATTGAATCTCCACTCGGATCAACTGACTTTACAGTCAAATGATTCAAATGATGAAGTATGTTAAGTTTTTCATAGGGTAATAAAAAATTTATGGCATGGTTATCTTCACTGGAATATTGGTGTTCCAACAAACCAATTACTCGAATCCCTGTTTACTTTTACTCATTAGTTGGTTTACATCACGACCATTTCACAATTTTACCCATTAAATTACACTTTGATAAAAGAGAACACTATAATTTATTCCAAATTACATAGAAATTGATCATTTGATAAATGGTCTTGATGTGTGCCAACTAATGAGTGAAAGTAGTGGATGGCAACTAGACCGATCTGACTAGTGAATTAGAAAGTCTAATTAGTTTTGACTACACCGGTTTTTTTACCCTCGCTGATTGAATGATCCAGTTTGTTCATGATGATATTACTTAGAAACTGTGATTATCACTTCTTGGGAATTTAATCTAGCAAAAAATGCTTTCTGAAGGTACCTTTATTGGTTATATAGGGTCCAGGCTCTTTGGCACTTGATAAGGGGTCTCCAAAGCAAGGACACTCTAGATCTTGTGAACAAGTACTTTTCAATACCTATTTAAAGGCATGCTGCAATGCTGCCAAATGGGTAGCAAGATTCTCATTCCAAAAGTATTTCAACGCATACACACACAAATGATCTTATTGAAAAAAAACAAGATCATAGGTAGATGCCAATTCAAACAATCTAAATAATTATAAATCTAAATAATTACATACATATACCAAAAAGTGCACGTCCAATTTGTACCACTGAAATAACATGCCAAAATATGGTCAACACTACTCAGGAAAGCATCCAAATTTCCCAAAAATAAACAAACAACAATGGCAGTCCAATGCAGAAATTCCTACATACAAAAAACATATATATTTCGAAAGGGTATAAAAAGTAAATAAAAATAAATGAACTTTTAAGGATCCTTTAAGGCCATCCTTCCACCTGGCAAATTCATCAGCTGAGGTCCTTCAATTATTTCAACGCATCCATTGACCTTCTTTGTGTAGTTTGCTTCGAATTTCGGCTTGCTAAGCTTCCCAATAGGCTGTCTTGCGAATCCTTGAACTTTTCACAAATGCAAGCCACTTTCTTGTTGTCCAAAGCATTGTAGTTTTTCTCTCTTATAACAAGATTCATGAAATTCTCAGGTGTAGAACTCATTAGAAGGTTCACCAAGTAATAAATAGTTTTAATGTATACCAACTGCTTCCCCATTAAACTTATGAAACCGTCGTGCTTAAGAAATCCAAATGCAAAGAGCTCCATATCAAGAACCACCAAGAAGACATTCAAGAGAGAGAGAGAGATTATCCATATGAAGAGTTTAAAGAGAGAGAGAGAGATTATCCGTATAAAGACATTAAAGAGAGAATCTGTTCCACATGGACTAGTAGCAAGAACTACTAGAAATCCTCAGTAGGGAAAGCAAGTAAGAAAAAGACATACGCATTCTAGAATTCATCCCCATCCATATATGAAAAATAAGTACAAACATGCAACAACAAAATCTTTAGCATACAACACATTGTATAGAGAGAGAAGGAATTAAAGCATGTGCAGCTTTGCTTTCACTTTCTCCGACACAGAACTACATAAAGACGCGGACAAATTAACATAACTTGCACAGATCATGAAAAAAAAAAGAAGTTGCTAGGATCATGAAAAAGATATTGTTTAAAAGAATACCTCCAAGGAATTCATATCTTCTCGATTTATGAACAGCTGATGTTAAGATGACAAAAGCATATCCTAATTCAAACTTTAAATCAACCAGGCTGCAAGTCAAATTCAATGTTTAAATATATTTTGATGGATACTAATCCCATTAGATGGTTCTTTAAAAAAACAAAATCAAATAGACATACGACGTGTTAACACAACAAACCCAACACTTTACTAGTTACCACTCCTATATGGATGGATTTGATGTGAGTGACTCTTACCATCAACTCACTTCTTATGGATCCAAAGTATACGATGTGTTTTGTTTGTAAGAAGAAGATAAATTCATATGTTAGCAATTAAATTGAAGCTAATACAAGTGTCAATCAAATACATCAACAATAATGAGGATAAAACAATTGCAAATAAAAATAATGTAAAGGTATGCAGTTGACTCCAAAAAAATGAAATGAAATTGTTATGAAAAAATCTGGGTAAGAAACATTGACTCCACTCATTTCAAGCTCCAAACATACTACATAAGCATCAGTTACTCTTGAAATTCAGCAGGCCAAATAATCAAGAATCATGTAGGCCCTTATATATGAGTATAAGTCATGCTACTATATATACACAGGGTTAAAAACCATATGTTTGCCAAAAAAAGGAAATGAAATTGCTATACAAAAATCAGGATAAGAAACATTGACTCCACTCATTTCAAGCTCCAAACATAATATATAGGCATAAATTACTCTTGGAATTTCATAAGGTCAAAAAATCAAGAACCATGTAGGCACTTAAATATGAGTGTAAGTCATGCTACCATATATACACAGGGTCAAAAATCATATGTTTGCCAAAAAAAAAAGAAATAAAATTGCTATAAAAAAATCAGGACAAGAAACATTGACTCCACTCATTTCAAGCTCCAAACGTAATACTAGGACGGTAAATGCATCACTATGGATATCTTCAATATATCACATAACCAAATAATAATTCCAACTCATATATATCACATAACCAAATAATAATTCCAAATCATAAGGTGCTATATTTGACCAAATATCTGCGAACAATAAACAATTAATCACGTGTCTATGATAATTCCTCAAAAAGAAAATATTAATCCTCTGTCTATGATCGGGAAATACAAAACATATTTCAGAAAAATTAATCATCTGCCCAAAAATTGTTGGCTTTAGTTGAAATCTAGGGTTTGTTCGGCACATAAAATGTCCGAAAACAGTTGTGGGTTTTAATCAGGAATTTCAGCAGGCCAAATACTCAAGAACCATGTAGGCCCTTAAAAAATGCTTCCATACATACACAGGGGTGTTTTGCTCAGTATTACAGAAATTCTGGACAAAAAACGTAAAAAAAATTTGGGCAAAATGCTACAAAAAATCGGGCCAGAAATTTGGGCAAAAAACGAAGATGAAAACAAAATTTGGGCAGAAGTTCACTCAGTACTACAGAAAATCTGGGTAAGAAATGAAAACAAAATATGGGCAAAAAATCTGTATAAACGTGTACAAAAATCTGAGCTTCCTTGGGGATTTGGGGGTTTTGCTCAGTATTGCAGAAAATCTGGGTTAAAAAACGAAAACGAAATTTGGGGAAAATGCTATTAAAAATCAGAAATTTGGCCAAAAAACGAAGATGAAATTTGGGTTTAAACCTATATTTGGCCAGCAATTTGGGAAAAAAACTACACGATTTAGGGATTGGGGGTTTTACTGGGCTTTGGGGATTTTGAAAACCAGAGGGAGGGCTGGAAAAGTAAAAAGAAAAACCCGAGAGAGAGAGAGAGCGTAGGCATACCTCGTTGAGTTGAAGCTAAGGGAAGAGGGAGCACCGTTTTAGTAGAGAAACCCTTTTTTCATTGGAGAGAGAAACCACAGAGAAGAGCTTCAACCCTTTTTTCAGCGAAGAAAGAGAGAACACAGAGAAGAGGTTCAATCCTTTTTCAGCGAAGAGAGAGAAAACTCTTCCAATCGTGCCCGATGAGAACTCTCTTCCAATCGTGCCGATGAGAGAGAAACCCTTTTCCAGCGAAGAGAGAGAGAACACAGAGAAGAGCTTCAACCCTTTTTTCAGCGAAGAAAGAGAACATAGAGAAAGCTTCAACCCTTTGTTTAGCGAAGAGAGAGAAAGCTCTTCCAATCGTCGTGTTCGATCAGAGAGATGTCAGTACCCTGCCCGATGTCAGTACCCAATTTTAAACCAAATTTTCGACAATTGCCGCGGGATCCAATCGTGGGTGTCGATTTTGCCCCTTTAAATCAGCGTCGTTGGGCGCATTTGAAACGCATAAGCGAAAC